AGCAATTCCCTGTTTTGTAATGCAAAACTTTTGTGAAGCAACTCAAAGACCTTTCATCAATCAATTGCTCGCTTTTTGCCAGCTCTTGACTTTACTTGTAGCACGCGCTCTCTCCCTCTCCCTCTTTCCCTCTCTCCATCTTTCTTTATCTCACTCAAACTCTGGCGACAAGTAAAACAAACATAATCTCAGCTTGTTTTCAACGATTTCAATTAATTTAATGCCGCATCTCTTTTTGTTTTTTTTTACTTTTTGACAAGCCATAAAAAAACATGAGCAAGAAATGCACCACTTGAAGGACTAAGCTCAGCTTATAGATATCCTGTAATAAGTTTCAGAATATACCATAACATGAGCTTGAAGATATTTGGGCTAGAAACATACATACAAAACTACATAAAGCACAGTTACCTTAAATATTTATGCTATGTCTAGTACGTCATAAAGTTTTTCCTTTTTGCGGACATTAAAGATACGTTAAGCTTAGATATAACTTACAGTTAGTATAAAGCCATAATTATAGGGTATCTCATTCATTATAGGGTAGCTCTAAGACTTATATTGTTGGCTCAAATAACCCCAAGCATATATCTAATATTATATGTGAAACTCAGATAGATTATTGAACATGAGTAAAGATAATATGCCCCACACTTTTAAAATACTTTTTCAATGTACAGGGTATCTTTAGAGCTTATGTTGCATATGAAGTGTACTTCAATTATATATAATTTTTAATAGATGTAATATAATAGAGCCACTTGTGTGTATACGCTCTTTTATAGAAGTTGTTAGAGGACATAACTCATATGTGAATCTATTTACTTCACTCCACTTATATACCCTCTGGATATGTGATGCAGTTGTGTACAGGGTATTCTGAAAAGTCATATTTGTGGACATTTTGGTTGGGCTCTTCTCTCCGCTCCGCAGCTGGTGGTGCACAACATATGCGAATGATTAATGTGGTTTCTTCTGTGGGTTTTCGGTATAAGTTTCGACAGATTTTTCATGCCGCACGCTCCACATTTGTGGCCTTGTCTATAGGCCCAGCCGTTGCCGTTGCGTATGCGTTATTTTTATTGTTTGCTCGCTCGCTTGGAACTGGCAAAAGTTTCAAAGATTCTTATCAATGACATCGCGCGTGGCTTTATTTATTTTCGGCCAACTCGAGCAGATGTCATCGTGGCAGCCGAATCTGCTGCAGGCTGCAATCAGCGAACTGTCAGACCCACTCTGGTTAAATCAGCCGCAACTCCCGATTCACAATTCTCGATTCTCGACGCCCGATGCTCGATGCTCGCTGCTCGATGCTCGATGCTCGACTCTCGACTCTCCATTCGCAACTCGGTTGCAGTTCATCAACGCTTGTAGCCAGGCACTTCAGTTACTTTTATCACAGCTGCCACGCATCGTTGGGCTCAAACAAAAGGCAAATGCAAACCGAATGCACTCGTAGCTGTTGCTATTGCTGCTGGTGCTGCTGTAAATGTTGCTGTGCACTCAAACGTGCTCTGGCTACAGTAAGGCCTGCCCAACATGGTCAGGCGATTGCGCTTGAAGTTCATTTAGCTAGCTCATATCAAAGACAATGAATAGAAGTAGCAAGAAGCAAAACAGCTTCAGCAGGTTTGGACATAAAAGAAGTGAGCAGATGCAATGGTAGAGTACATAAAGGAATAGGGCTCAATTTAGTAAAAGTAACGAGAACAAGCAGCGATTGGGTGCAGAGAGAAGATAGTGAACGAGTAGCTGTGGCGAGTAGCGAGTACAGAGCAGCTAGAGCCCAGATGAGAAGGGAGACGAGAGAACTTAGCAAGAGCTTTATTATAGAATCAGAGACGAACAGGGCGGGTATAGAGAGAAGACATTCAACGAGTAGAAGTAGCGAGTAGCCAATAGCCAAATGAGTACATAAAGTTGAGAAAAGACCATGAAGAAGACAGAAATGGAATGAAGGCATAATAGGCTTTAAATAAAAGTAGTGAGTAGCAGGAAACTGGAATGAGTAGAATAGCTGATAACGAGTAGAAAGGCAATCGCATGCATCTATGGTTACACCTCACTACTTATGAAGTGTAACCATAGACCAAAGACAAGGAATAAGCACTGGGGAAAGTAGAGAATTGCTGTAAGCAGAGGGAGAAATGCACAGAGCAATTGCTCAACGATTCTCATTAGCGAGTAGCGACTGCACGGCGATGGCGACAAAAGCCAAAGTCCCTTTGCTTTTTGTCCTTCCCGCTGCTTGTGGTAAGCATTTCAATAATTCACTTGTCTGTCCATTTGCACTGCTGCAACAACAGCAACAGCAACAACAAGAACACATTTGGGTTGTACTTTTGCCATTTTGTTTGCTCAATTGTTCAACCACTGTAAATAAAACGTAGCACATCCGTTCGATGCGCCATATTGTTTGGCCCCGATTGAACAATTTCTCGTATGTTTTCACTTCCTCCAGTTCGCATTCGTCATTCAATTTTCGTCGCAGTCCTCATTACGCGCTACTAATTGTATTCAAATTGAGTTCTCACCACAGCAAAGGAGACCAAATCATCAAAATTTCATTTCATTATTGCCAATTTTATGAATGGCAATAGCAAAGTTTCTCGGCCAAATGAATTTCCATGGATATTACGAAAGGCATCGTAGCGTTCAAAGAGTCTTCGATATGGCAGGCAAGTGTGCTCTAGTCGGGAGTGTCCGACTGCAAGGTACCCTGCCTCGTCGTCCTCATCAGGGCTCTGGCACGCCTGCTCCTTTCGACAAAGCGAATATACCCCAAATTGCCAAGTTTAATGGGTGCAGGGTATTGTAATATTTAGATAATCAAAGCCCGTAAGCTGCATATGAATAGATTTGTGCGCTGCGTTCACACCTTAAGCTACAAGTTGCAGTAGGTTGCCTAGTTGCAGCGAGAGAGAATGGAAAACAAAGCTGTGTGAAATTTGTGAAAGGGGCTTGTGACGGCACGGCTGAAAGACTCGACGGCAGGAAGTGGGTCAGCTAAGCTGCTTAGCTGCGGTGCTGATGGCGCCGCATGTTACCAGCATGTCAAACATGTTAGGTAAACATACCCACACCCCCACACACGCACACACAGGCGCACACACATGTACATCAAAGTAATTAATATCCCTTCAAATGTTACATGCACTAATTACAACAACAACTCGAACAACAGCCAAACAAGCAGCCAAGACGAAATTTTGAAAACGAGGCTAACAAAATGCCAGCTAGAAACCTGACAGCCTCGGTGACACATCACATGAGGCGTCGATGGCTTCGGGTTCGGGTTCGGCTTCAGCTTGTCAGCGAGCGAATTTTACTTCTTGACTTGGCTTGGCTTAAGTCAAAAGCAAGACCCTGCAAGACATGTCAGCGAGAGCGTCGTGCATTGAATGAATGTTGCCTTGCAGCTTATGCTTCTGAACAGCTCACAACACAGGTGATCAAGAGAGACTTGCTAGAAGTGTGTGATGAATATGCATTTTTATTAGGCTCAAGGATAACTTTAGCTCAAGCCAAGACGCAGACGCATCTTGCTGATATTTCTTAGTGGAAATATCTTCAATATGTATAAAAAGGCAGATCGTTAACCTACGCTGCCTGCAGGGGTGTCGGGTTAAAGGGAACAGCTGATAAAGCTAAAAGGCAATTTACTGCGTCAATAATTAAAGGCTAAATACAGAGAGCTTCGGCACTGAATATACATTGACAGTTATCTCACAGCTTATTTAAAAGCAGTCAGTTTAAGACAGCCCTACAACTGCCTGCAGTACAGGTCAGGTCTATATAGACAAACTATAGCTAAAAGACTCAGGCTAATGTCGATTTCAATTTCATCTCGGACAGCAGCTCATCGAGGAAGTCTTGCACTAATGTGGGCCACTTGCTGCTTTGACAGATTTCCAACAGGGCTGTCTCGAAAGTGTATGCATATGCATGTTTGAGGAACGTTTTTTTCTTTTTTTTTGGTCAAGGTCATTTTGGCCCCAGAAGTTTCACGCTTGCTGCTGTGCATTTGTGCACAGTACGAAGGAATGGGAGAGGGGAGAGGGAAGAGAAGAAGGAGAGGGCAGCCATGCAGCCAAAAGCAACGCTCACTTGACTTAAAAACTCATGTCACTCAAGTTAGAAAAAAAAAAACAACTTTCAATTAGGCTCAACTGAGCAACCGCCACAACAGCAGCAGCAGCAGCAGCCAAAAGCAAGCGCTGGGTTGGCATGGCCACGCCTTCATTATTAATTGAAGTCTCGAATGCATGAGAGAGAGAGAGAGAGAAAGAGAGAATCAACAACATTTACATTTAATCAGTAATCAGCAGACGACAGCATTGCGTATACGTAACGTAACGTAACGTAACGCAGCGCCACGTTCACATTGCGTATACGCGATGTTAATAACCGATTGCAGCCCCTCGTCGTCTGCGTTGGCGTTGGCGTTGGCATCGTCGTCAAGAAGCTTCAGCGGCATCCTTGTCAATTTAATTAATTTGTCATCATTTATTATGCCAAAATAAAAATGCAAAAGAGCCCTGCGAGTGGGTTGTTTGAGTGCCGATGTTGGGGCAGAGTGCCTGAGCGAAAGGCTGAGATTGTGGATGGTTGGCGAAGTGATAAAGGCGAAATGCAGGGGCGACAATGAACTGACTATGGCAAGGTGACAATGGAATACCCTATTACGTCGCATTAGCCCTGAAGAGACGCACAACTAAGCTCCAGTTGTGCCTCAAACTGCCTGAAATAGCCTTGGCTATCGTAGCAGAGCGATTTGATTGCAGATGACCAAAGCTGATTGATGGTTTTCTAGCACAAACTAAGCATGGCATACCGTAGGACATATATCACACTGTATCTTGGGCTTTACAGAAGGCCCATCATGTTATGTCTAAGCTCTAAATTAAGGAGAAATTAAAAGACAAAGAATAGCAAAACATTACACGAGTCTATTACATCACATTTGAATACTACATTAAATACATACATAAAGCTAGTGTTGGAATGTATTAAAATATATATGTAAGTTAGTCTAGGATGTGCCTGAAAATGCCCTACTGAAACTTAACAGGGTATATACAAAACTGCTGATGGCTGATGGCGGCGCAAATGTCAGCAGTTGTTGCAGTCGACGAGGCAATAACGCAATTGCAACAGCGGCAACAACACCTGGTGAAGAAATTGCTTTTTAACCAACACAAATAGAGAGGACCTGACGAAGGGAGAGAGCGATGTCAGAGGTAAACTTTAAGTGCAAGATAGGTCAGGTCAGAGTTTTTCACCTGCCGCAGCGTCGGTTCTCAAGTGGTGTGTGCAAGCACATGTGGAAAGGAACGAGCCCAGACAGACAGCCAGGCCAAAGAGAGGAGGGACAAAGCGTTACGGTGCACGGGACGAGAGGCAAGCACTGAGGCTCGTTGTCTGCTGCGTAACGTTGACTCACGGCTCGCAAACGGGTTTCAATTTACATTTACGTTGATTTTTTGTTAAATTGAGTTTGACTTTGGCTGTCGTTACGAAAACAACGAGCGAAGACAACAAATATCAACATTGACATGGACACAAATGGGTTATAAGAAGCGCAAAATGACGCAAGATGCAGTTGGTAGAGAGTGCTAAGGTCTGTAGCTACAGATCCGAAGAAACGCAATATAGTGCGAACTATGCGAATTGACTAGAGAAGGAAGTCTGTCGCTGCTAAGTGGCGGAACTTTGAGAAATATTTGCGAAAAGAGATCTGCTAAAAGAGATCTCCCGAAAGAGATCTCTCGAAAGAGTTCGCCAAAAGGTTAGTCACATATAAGGTTGATAAGAAGATAAGTTTGAAATTCAAATTTTGAGCATTAGATCAAATGCATCTAATGGCAGTATGCGTAAGTCTAGGGCGCAGTAGAAAGATCCAAGGCATCGTATGTAATATTCCTCTAACTGGTATTGGCGCTTCAATCAGAGGAAACATCTGAAGGCTTATTGCTTCTGGTCCTTGTTGAGATTCGATCGTTTCATTGGTCTGCCTGTTGACATATTCTCGGCGATCTGCTCGAAATATAACTTCTCAATGGTTTGTAAGGCGCCTAGCCAGATGGCACGCGACTTGCTGCAGTGCTCGTCAAACAGTTGGCGCAAAAGCTGAAAGCTGTGAGTGGCCAGCAGCTTGCGTTGCGACATATCGGGATCCAGATGAGATTTCCAGCCGGGCAGCAAGCGGTGCTGGCAGCAGCAGCTGTGGCACTTGTCGAGCGCGCGATTTAAACGACTTATCAGGTGATTTTCCAGCTGAACATCCAGATCGCTGATCTGAAGGCGCAGCTCCATTTGATCATCGCCATCGTGCAGCAGAGGCTCGAAGAGCATGCCGAAGATGCGACAGGGCACCTTGGCCAATGGCTTCACGGCCAACTGCAGCTCATTTCGCCAGAGAATGCAGGTGCGATTGCATTGATTTTCCACTTCGGGCTTTGCGACGTCCTTCGTCACGTCGAGCAACTGTAGAACCTCAACCGATGCCTTCATCATTTGGGCCTGCAGCTGTTTCAAGTGTCGCTCCCGCTGCTTGGCCACGAGCAGCTTATGCTCCATCAGCGCGTTCTCGATCAGCAACTGGGGTCGTCCGTTGGAGTCCGTTTCACTGCCCAGCAGCAGCTGCTGAAAGATGTTCCGCTCCGCCTCCAGTTCCTGGTCGGAGAGCTGAAATTGTTCGCTGGCGCCCAAAGTGTCGGGTCGACGCTGATGACTCCGTGAAAGCTGTAAGTGCAAACCCCTCTGCGTCTTTCGCCTATTACGAGCGACCAACGAGCTCTGCTCGGGACCCATGCGAGGTGATGGCCACAAGGCTTCTGTTTGCGTAAACTGAGTGCAATTCGTTGAAGTCGTTGGTTCCTGACTCGATGGACTCACAACAGCTGCGCTCTGCGTTGTCCCTTCCTTCTGCTTTTCACTCTTATCCTTATTCTTCTGGCGTATTCGACGCGGCCAATGGTGCCTCATGAATATGGGTCTGGGCCTAGAGTCCACGGCTAAGTCCCCCATGCTGCCATCGCCTCCAAAGACCGCACGGCAACTTATATTGCTGGTGCTACTGTACACCTCAGACTTCTCCTTCCTCTCCTTGGACCTGTTCAACTCGCTCATATCTACGTAGCGCTGGTAGCGCTTGATTTTCTTCTTCAGCGGCTGCGCTGTAAAGTATTCACCGCTGGAATGTTCCTGTAAGCGCGCTTTGCGCTGCTGCTGCTTTTGCAGGTAGCCCTTGAGCTGTCTGCGTACCTCGCTATCGGATAGCATCTGCGCTTCACTGGAGCTGGACCTGCGTCGTGGTTCGAATTGAATATAGCGTCGCATCAGAGGCGACCACATGCGCTTTCGCTTGCCGAAGCTCGTTGATGGAACTCGACGCGGTGTCATCCGCCTGCTCTTGTCGGATTGAAGTGCCCCCCGCTTGCCATTTGACTTGCACTTGGTCCCGCTGTGCAGTCGATGCACTCGCCAGGCGAACCTGATGCACTCCTTCACCGATTCGGATCTCTCCTTGGCGAGCATACTACTCTCGGTCTTGCTGAGCTCTAGCCGGGTAAATGCTTCCACTTCGGTGCGACTATGCGCTTTGGTTAGCCAACCGAGCATGTCGCAGCGCTCCTTGATCTCCAGCTCCAGCTGCTGTTTCTCCACATCGATCGTGTGAACTTTCTGCTCGGCCAGCTCCAGGCGCAAACGCTGCTCATCGATGTGCTGCAGAAAGCATTCCCTCGTATATTCCAGCAGCTCCATTCGCCTAGCATTATTCAGCTGCTCGATTGACTGCTCCGGCGTTGGGGATGCAGAAGGCGAGGAGGTCAAAGCTGGTACGGATTGCTGGATAGAAGCTTGGTTATCGCCACCCAAGTTCCTGGGCGTAGGACTTCGTCTCGCTTTCGAATTCGCCTTATGCGTGTGCACTTGCTGCGTGTCATACCGATTCTGAGCTGGGATCGTACCATGCTCCTGCCCTAAGCGTTCAGACCAGCCATGATCAGAGTGAGCTTCGCCTTCCCGCAAGTCCTGCTGCAACCCTGGACCATCGACGACCTTCCGACTCTGCTGTTGAGTCTCTCCAAGGGAACACGGTTTGTTCTTGCTCGCCAGCTGCTTGTCACGTACTGCAATTAGCTTTCGCTCGAGCTCCTCGCTGCGGCGCCTTATTTGCTCTTCCTTTCGGCGCATTTTCTGCTGTTCCTGCAGAATTTTGACATCATCCGCTTTTATCAGTTCTTTTATTACGTTTGCATCTATTAACATCTCAGCAACTTTATCCTTCTGCTCGGCCTTTCCTTGTCCTCTGCGCTGCTTGCGTTCGTCGAGCACTTTTTGTTTCGTCTCGAGCTGCTCCCAATGCGGACGTTGGCGCTGAAGACGATTCTTTTCTGCCTTGCATTTTGGATTGGATACTTCTGGTTGCTTATGATTCTCGGTAATCTCTTTGGCCTGCCTTTGCTGCTCTCCACGCTTGCTCTGGCCAGACTTGACGACATCAGTTTCGCACTTCTTCTGCGCGAGCAAACGATTCGCGATCTTGCGTTGTTTGCGCAAATTGCGCTCGTGTTCGCGCTGTCCGTTCACACGCAGCAATAGATTCTCGTGCTCCTTGAGCTTACGCGCTCGCTCCTGTTCGAGCTGCTGTTCCTCGCGCTTTTTCTCCTCCGCCTCGCGTGTCTTGTGGCGCTCGCGCTCACGCTCTCGCTGCTGTCGGTCCGTCTCCTGCTGCTCCTTGCGTCGCTCGATATCCAACATTTTGCGCACGCGCTCCGGCTCCTTGGCCTGCTCGCCTAGCGGCAAAACCAAACCTGGAGTTGAATCTATGCAGGCTTTCTCTGAATATTTAAACATTTGCGCGTCGAGATCGCTCTCCGCCTCTTTAAAGTGTTTCTTCTTGTACAATTCTAGCAACGGCTTCGCCATTCGATTGCCCGCAGGCAAATCGCCTGAAGCTGCTGGCGGTGCCTTGGCCGTAGCAGCTAGCGAGGGCTTAGCCGTAACAGCTGGCGGGGGCTTGGCCGTAACAGCCGGCGGTTGCTTGGCCGTAGCTGCTGGCGGGGCCTTGCCCGTAGCGGCTGGCGGTGTCTTGCCTGTAACTGCAGCCGAACGATATGGGTTTAGCCCAGACTTAGGTGCGTTTGGTTTCTTATGCATGGCCTTGGTGCTAGAGATAAGCTTCTGATGCCAGAGCTGATGTTCCACCTTTTCCAATTCATTTATCTGCTCGACTACATTGGCCTGCGATGTCGAGGGCTTCGTCTCGTCCTCATCGATCGGAGCACTCACAGACGATGGAGCCGGCGCACGCAAGCTCTTGGCCACGGTCTCTTTCTCGGCTAGTCCGGGATGGACGAGCTTCCGCTGCTGCTTGGGCAGCCCAACTTCCTTATCGTCAACCTTCAATTCTGGCTTTATCTGTTTCACCTGCTTGCGTCGCATGTCGAAGCATTTGCGCAAATCTCGATTGCAATTGAGCTCATCTGTAAAGGGATAGCCCAGCTGTCCGTCCTTCTTCAGCTGGCTGTGCATCAAGTCGATCAGGCAATTCCTCACCGCCTTCTCGTCTTTGGTGGTGCGCGAGAAGACGCTCAGCCACTTGAGGCACAGCTCTCGATCTGCTGCACGCGGATGCGCCTTGCTCATCTCTCTGATCAGCTCCATTTGCTGCTTGAAATGAAGATCCATCTTCTCGTCCGACAAACTGCGTGTCACACTCAACTTTCCAAGTTGCGACGATGACTGCATGGTACTCGATTTTCTTTATAATTTCTCACCTTTCAATTATGTTACACTTTCTGATATTTTTCTTAAAAACTTTTCTGACTGTTCAGTTCGACGTCTGTACACAAACTAAATAATTTTCTGGCATCGCTGCTAGGAAACAATCTCTCATAGCCTGCTGTACAAAATATCAAAAAATATTTATTAGGAGTGCTCCTGTGGCACAGTGTTTCCTACAGATATCACTCAAACAACTTCTCTTCAACTAGCCCGCCCTCAAGGCAGTCCCAATGGCCTCTCCATTGGCCAGGAATGTTTTGTAAACACTTAAGCAAAGATTTCCTAGCAGACCAATGCCAGTTTCGATTGCTCCAGCTACATTTTTGGCACATAATTGCTCTTCAGGTCAGTGGGTCTCGAATAGGCCCTTAAACTAGCTTGCCTAATGCTCTTGATGCTTGCACGAGCCCCAACATAATAGCCATAATTCTGGTTTCAGTTTCAGAAAACACAAAACTCCATTGTTGTTGCAGTATTAGCCGAACTCGTGCTGCCTTCAAAATTCCATCAAAATTCTGTGTGGCCTTAGTCTAATGACTTAACATATTAAAGAACTTTCACTCTGCGCCTTACCAATTACTTTGGCTTAGTATAAACTTTATTTGACAAATGCCCAGCGCAGAGTGTGTGTGAGGGAGAGAGAGAGAGGGGGAGAGTGTGTGTAGGTCTACAAATTGATGGCCATAGGATTAACAAAATGCTTTTAATGTGCTAAATGAAATTAATAAAGTGCTAAAAGTTTTTGAGCCGCAAAAGTCTTGGCCCCAGGCATTAGTGAAAAGCTATCCACACACACACTGTGCTATGGGCGTGGCATGTGAAGCATTAACAAACGATTTCATAATTATTATATTATTATCATTATTGAGCGCAGACACCTACACACACACACACACACACACGCGCGCGCGCACACACACCCAGCACACCCTCAATCCGTTGGGGCGACTTTCTAATTGAGTGCTTAGCACAATTTTGATAATAATTAATATTTATGCCTTTTCCTTTTTGGCCCGCTTCTAGGGACTTCATACATTGAGCCGACTTTTGAAGTCCCTTTAAGACCGCTTTGTCTGCTTGCTCAACTTGCTCTTGGGCTTTGGCATAGTTGGCCACGAATTAGTAGAGAAACATTCAATTGAGCATATTCCCTTCAGCCACGCCTCTCCCTCTGCCTCCCGCCCTCTGTCTCTCACGCTCTCACTCTCGCTGTCTATGCTTATCCTAGGGCCAATGGAGCGGAGCGCACGAGCTGCAGGTTCAGCGCTCATTAGGCGCAGCAAAAACAACAACAGACAAAGAACTGACTGCAAATCCGTTTGAAAGAAAGACCCAAGTCAAATGCGATAGACTGAGCCCTTTTTACGTATATCCTATACCCTATAAAAATGTGCTAGTGGGTTATATGCGTTTTCATGTCAGCTAACAAAATAGAATAGGAAAATAAACGAGCACTCTCTTTTCTACTCCTTCCCTTTATGTATACCCTGTAAAATATTTAAGGTATATTCATACACAAGTGTATACCCTGTAAAATATGAGGAACTATTTTATATAACATTCACAATAAATATGCATATTGAAAAGTAAAAAGTATTTCTGTATAGAACATTTAGCTAGTTACAGAGCATATACACGTCGGGCACACCCCACGAAACGATCTATTATTAAAAGTGGTTGCAGTTAAAAAATGTTGTGCACATTTTCATAGCATCAAAATAATTTCTAGTCTAAAATGCTTACAGGGTATCTGCTAGTCTAGCAGCAAAGTGCTGCACTCTATATATATATCACCACATATCTTTAAAAAGTGCCGTTTGAGAAAGAGAAAACCGTGCACGTCATATAAAAATAATAGCTACAGAGTATCTCTAGTCGAGCATTTCTGTATTCCATTTTTCTTCGCTTATTCCATTTATACTAATTCTACTTCGTTTTTAGACTATTCATACGTTGAGGCATTTTACGATACATTCTCTTAGCTACAGGGTATTGCTTAGTCGGTCAATTGCCTTTGTCATTCATCAAGTTGTTTTCCTTTCACTTTGCAACTGATTTATTTGATTTGATAGGTCTTGACGCAAATGTGTTTCATTTACCTACTCAGAAAACGCTTTCAAGGGTGGGCGTGACAAGGGGCTGGCCAGGGGCTGGTCTGGTCTGTGTGGTGGTGGATGGTTAGGTCAGTCTAGGAGCGAGTCTCTCTGTCTGTCTGGCCTTGCCTTGCCTCTAAGTTGTTTGCCAACAATTTGAAACGCAACATTTGAGGCTCAAAGGGTTAGACGGGTTTTTTGGTCATTCGATACGGCGCTCATTAAATTTCATCTTTTTCTACTTCTCTATTGCATACGCTGTAGACATGCTGATGCGACTTGAAGGGTATTTGTGAGCAGCGTATAAAGTGAAGTTTTCTTCTACCTGTTATTCGAACTAAGATCTAAGGCTTAGACTTGCGGCAAGCCGAGCTCGAACCGTGAATTAAATTACGGAAGTTAAGTCATTTGGCTTTTAGGTCAGCAACTGAGTTTAATGACTCAGGAACCACAAGTTATTGCTTTAGATTATTAATACAACCTTCCTTAGGTTATTCTTCGAACTAAGAACTCAGAACGTGTGTTTGGAAGACGCTTTAATAAACAGGCTCACATCATGCCAAAACATAGGCCATATCACACGAGAGCAGAGCCCACTCGTTTGCCAATCTGTCAAAGTTGTTATTTTTCTGTCGGGGTTTCAGGCACATATTTAACCGATTGTCATTAATTAGGTGTCAACTGCAAAGCTTTGAAATACTGAAAAGCCCATGCCCAATTAGCGCATGCTTCCCCGCGTCGCTCCGGGTTGCGCCTAATCTTTCGTCAAACTAATTAGCGTTAAATATGATAGTTTAATTGGTGAAATAATTGAGGAGATTTGGCTTAGCGAGTGTTTGAAGAGGAGATAGCCACAGAGAGGGAGGGGGAGAGAGAAAGTCGTAATTTGTTTGGAAAGTAAAATTGTTTGTTGATATATAAAATGAGCAAAGGCACAGCGAGAGGACAATGTTTAAAGTGGAATCGCGCTGCTTATCGTTACGTTATTGTTATCGATACATGAATTATGATAGTTTGAGCTTGACTGATTCAGGCAGAGGCTTAACACAACTTTATATAATCTTTATCGCTTAATCGATAGGTGGTTATCGTTATCGATATATTAAGATGACTTTGATTGATTTTTAGCAGCAGCCGCTGCACGAACTTAGCCCTGCAAAATGTCCCACTCCAGCAGCTCGATCTCTACAACTTTACGAGTTGTTGCTGCTTAGATTTTCTTGTTTTCCCTTTCTTCGTTTCCCTCTCCTTCTTCCTTTTCTGGCTTCTCTTTCTTTTACTGAACTTGACATTTATCGCTTTATACGCATTTCCTTTTGCCTGCCTGTCTGACTGCCTGTCACTCGGCTTGTCCATTCACATCTCTCGCCCCCGCTGCCATTCTGTCTGCCTGTTAGTTTGACATGTTTGTTATGTTTATAGCACGATATATTTACCAAACTTAATTGGTAGTTATAGACGTTCCATATAAAATGCCAAGAAAATAAAATACGAGACATGAGGCAAGTCCAACAACAAAAGGACTGGGTGTGGGCAGAGTTAAAGGCTAAGGCGTTGAAGCAATTGTATATAGATAAGCAAGTAATAATGGTATCGAGCTATCGATATATCGATTAAAATATTTATCTAATCTAATCTAAACTGTAAATAATCTGCGTTGTCAGTTAAAGGTAAAGCTTTTAATCAATTGTATCGCATAGAAAAAATGCATAAATACTAAATTGAACAAGTTATCGATATTTCGATTGAGAATACTCTCTGTGATTGCAAGAGTTGCCTATAAGCAATACACAATGCACAATTCAAGCGATATATAGTAGTATTAAATAATAATAATATATAATAATAATAATAATAATAATAAAGAAACTTTATCTCAATAAATAAATACTTATGCAAAATACATTGTTATCGATATGTATCGATAAGTAACGAAGCCATATACATAAACATATTCTTAGCTAACATTATAGGAAAAGCGCTCCAGTTGCTTTGCTTTTCATTCAATACATATATATATCGGTATATATCGATATATATCGGCAGCTGCTCAAATTCACATCAAAGCCAATTAATGAGCATTTTTCGATATAGCTTACTTTATTTTTACAGTTACTAGAAATGCCCAAATTCAGTTGCACTTAGCGCTTTAGCCACGCCCACTCTATTGACGCCCACATACCACTCCACTCGGACCCTGACAAAGCTGGCAAAAGCTTTCGTTCTTTCGTTCCTGGCCCGAACCCCTAGATACCGTGACTACAGAGACTCCAGAGGCTGCCAAATGATTGTCATTGTCCGTTTTATGTTTCATTGTGTTGCCTGCGGCTGGAGCTGGAACTGAAGCTGGAATGTGTATGTGCACATGTGTGTGTGTGTCTGCGTGTGTGTCTTGCGAGTTGTTGTTATTTGTATTCGTATTAGTTTTTGTGTTTATGGCTTTTCTTTTGCAGCGGCGCTTTAATTGATGCGCCTCCTTCATGTAATCATAAATCTCACTCGCTCGGCCTCACTCTCTCCCCCTCTACAGACCTCCCTCTCTCCCTCTCTCTATCTCTCTCTCGAACAACAATAAAAATCAAATCAAATTTAATACAAAATTAAATAAATTGTGCTTTGGCTGCGACTGGCTTTAACAACTGCTGTTGCTGTGCCTGCTGCGCCGTCTTTTGTTTTGTAGTTTTTATCATATACCCTCTACATTTTGCAGGCTTGGAAGCTGGCCTGCTGAACAAAGGCAAGAGTGACTAAGAATTACAGGGTATGTATGCAGTCTCCACTCTGATCACTCAACATGTTTTCATGCATTTCTGGGCCATTTAAAAGCAAAAATGTGTTGAAATTTTCTACTGTCTGTCACTTAGCTCTTACAGGGTATCTAGCTAGTCAGGCATTGGCTTGCTTTCTCATATATCGTTGTGGCAAGTTGTGTAGCCGCAGCTGGCACGCAAAAATTTCAACTTTTGGCCAAGTCTTCGCCAGTGCCCCCACCCCCACCACTCGCACTCTCTCTCGCCCTCTTTCTATCTGTTTCTTATTTAATTTGGCTGACTGAGAAGCGCGTAGAGAGGCGAGGTACTGCCGCCGCATGTTCGTTGACTTTATTTGCTGTGTGTAATAAAATTAAAGCCCTTTAGCTATTGTACTTTCAGAAAACCAAAAAAAAGCAAAGAAAAATGCAAAAGAACAAATTGTAAGAGGCGGGTGGGGCGGGTGGTGGCAGGGGGTGGCAGGGGGTGTGGCGACAGGCAGCAGTCAGCAGTCAGCAGTCGACAGCCGGCAGTCGGCAGGCAGTGCGAGCCAACGAGCCATGAATGTTGCTCTTAGTTTTGTGGATGTGGCCATTAAGTTGGCCTTTTTATAGTCCTAGTTACATGCCCGCCAGGCAGACACGCAGCCACGCAGCCACGCGAAGGACGAAGGACGCTAGTCTGAAACATATTGAGAATATTCGCGCTGTTGTTTAGCTAGTTTATATCGCATTAGATCTGCGACGCTTGCTAATGAGGTTCAGCTCAGCCCAAAAAACTTTTCCTCTTCATTTTGCCGTCGTTTTCCAATTGGAATTTTCCCAATTGGATGTGCATGCGAAAGGTAATTCTATGAGAACAATATGTATCGATACTTCTCGACTTTCATAATCAATTTAAATTGCTTAGCTAATCGATAACATTCGATAACTCACCTCCACAGTGATCCTTGAAGTCGTCACAGCAGTCGCCCAGCTTGAGGCAGGCGTGATCGCAGTAGCATGGCTTATCGCTCAGATCCTCGATAATCGCATTGACCGGCGCCTTTTGCACCACGCACGAGGAGTCGCGACCGTTGCAACAGAGTTGGGCCTCGCGGCACGAACCGCCAGCTGCCAAAGGCAACAGCAGCAGCAGCCACACGCACCCGCCCAGCAGCGCCCATTTCGGCAGGTGGGCGTGGCACATGGCAAGCGAATTTTGTGACATTTTTTGCTTCAATTTGTTTCAATCAAAAGTTCTTCGATAACCGATATCAATAGTTCTCTGTAGACAGATGAATGGATATCATAAATGAATCAAGCTCGACTGACTGTGTGTGTGTGTGCGTGTGTATATGTGTATGTGCGTGTGTGTGTGTAGTGAGTGTAGAGTTTGCAAATGCAATTTACGCCCAAAAGCGGAAATTAAAACTAAAATTGAGTTATGGCAATTGTATGCCGCCATTGCAAGAGACAGAGAGAGAGACTCAACTATCGATAAGCGACAGAGGGGAAATGAGCATTGGAAGAAGATTGTGGATACAGAAATGGAGCGAGATGGAGGCCTTTTTGACTCACCGAATGCCAGAGCAATTAAAGCTGTATTTCACAATCATTTATTACCCTGTCGATCATTAAAGTGCGATATATATCGATAGTCAGTCGATAGAGAAAATAGTCATCAATTAAGAACTCTTCTGAATATTTATTTCTTAAAGTGAATAGATTTGAGTTAAAATAAGCAAAGTTTTGACATAACTTAATTTGAATAGCGCCATGTGCGATATACATCGATACAATAATACAAATATCGATTGGTAAATGGATGCTTTATGCAAAATTCAAGAATACTTGCTAATATGTGGCTTAATATTTTAGGCCCTGTAAATAGTTTTGTTCGATATATATCGATAAGAATAAGACTACAATAAGAGTTATCGAAAGTTCAACGATTAATGTTTTGAAACGGGCTTAGCTTGTATAAAACCAAAATGCTACAGGCTACGCTATATGCGATATTTATCGATTAAATAAATAAATTGATGAAGTTCTAGTCGGCTAATCAGTGTTTGCCTCTTGATACCCCGTAATTGCCTTCACAAATGGGGTCTATTGATATGTTAAGCGACTCCCAATTGGGCAAGCAAAAGCTCAAACTCTTTTGCATAAAATATTGAAGCAGATGGCAACAAAGGAGTCAGCGAAGGAGAAGACTCAATAGACAAAGGCGAATCGACGGTGAGGCAGGTGTGGTACAGCAGGCCAGGTGTAATAAAAAGGCAAAAAACAATTTCAATTTTCATAAATTGTTGCCGAAATCGTTAAGATATTATGATAATATATGAGCTGCTATGACAAGCTGACGAAATCAATGGACCGAGAGAAGGCAAATGCCAATGGAGATTCACATTAAAGATGGGATGTCTGCCACCCATCCAACCAGGCATCCAGCCAACTAGTAGAGAGCTCTTCTCTTTGAATAGTAGCATATCTTATTGGAGAGACATTTCCATCCATCTCTCGTTGTTGAGGAACTTCATCCAGACAAATGAGATTCGAGAAACCAACGAGCTATACCAAATTGTCACAGCTCATGAGGCGAGCCTAAGGAAGGAAGGCCGATTGAACACTCAAATCTGAATATGAATGAGAAATATATATAAAGACATATATATATATATATATATATATATATGTATAAATATATATGTTAGTATAAATGGAAATTTATTTGCATAAGAAAGCGATCTCTCATTTGAATTTGACGATAAAAAAATGTATTCGATTAAAAACTAATTTTCGATTTGTATGCGCCAGGTGAAGCGCACCTGAAGCGGCGGAAAAAAACTCAAGTGGACTGAGTCAGGAATGCACAACTCAAATTATGTGTGAATTTAATTCTGTTAACAATTGCAGGCTGCGTGTCAATAATGCTAAAAATTGTTCAATTTAATTACAGCAAATTTCAAAAATTTAATAAACTCCAATATATTTTTTACTAAGCCACGCAAATAATGAAGTTTGCCAGTTAGACAAGTTATCTACTCAGAACTCACATTCTGAGATTAATACACTCAATTACTTTCATTTACACTCATAACTCAGAGAATCACTCAACAAATGCTTCGATCACTGACTCATCATAAACTACTAGAAAAACTCGCATATGTGACTCAATTCAATGTAAACCCATAAAGAGACTCCGCAAAGACAAAACGCTCAAAGCAAACAAAAGAAAAAACCACGCAGCACAAATTCATTTTAAGCAATGCTTCGATCACACGCACAGAAAATTGAGTGTGGAATAAAAAATGCACTCAAAATGGTTAAAACACGCGCAGCTTTTTGCAGGTGCCGTTATTAAATTTACCGCAAAATGCCTAAAAATAGGCAGCAAAAAATGAACACAGTTTAAAGCGGGCCACAAAAGGAGAAAAACAAAATACAAAAACAACAACAATGAGAATGGCGGCACGCACACAGACAAAGAAAGCTAAATTTCCGCAATTTTTTTTTAAATGTGTGTCTGTGTGGTGTGTGTGTGTTAGCCAGGCGACATAAATGTTCTTAAATGATTAATAACTTTTGTCACTCCTTTCTCGCACTCGCGAATTTCGCTTGCTGCGGCGCGGTTTCAGTTTCACTTATCAACAAAAAAAAAATTAAAAAAAAATAACAACAATGACAACAATAAGGCAGCTGGTATAAGAGTCCAATAAGCGCCTTTTTGCTGGATCCACACGTGTGTATCGCTTACGTTACGTATTTACGCTATTTTCGAGCTAACTGGTAGATTACGGAAAGCGTACGACAAGTGCGAACACTACGAAAGCCGGTCGACGACTGTGCCAGCTGCTCTGCTGCGTGGTGAGTTATAAAGCAACACAAAACAGTGTCGCCTGTCGGCAGTCGCTCGTGCTTAGGCACTCAACCGCTCGGCTCGGCTGGTTCGAATCGTTGTTCCCGCCGCATCTCTTCTCGCTTCCTCTCGCCGTCGGTCGCCTCACTGCGTCTCTCGCAGCGTCTCGCCTTCTCTTTCATGGCGTCCCGTTTGAGTCACTATGTGGCTGAGCCGCTGCTTGACACGTGCAAAGCGCTTTGATTTGTTTGTTTTGAGTGGGCTTTGCTCAGTGTGCGGGATGGAGAGGAGCGAGGAGGGAACGCAAAGTCGCAGGCAAAAAAGCCGGCATAACGCCGTTACACTTGCATTTACCACCCCCCCTTCCCTTCACAAAAAAAAACAACAACAAAATTTAAAATGAAATAAAAGAAAACAATATAAAAAGAATTACACTCTGTGGTGAGTTTACGCCGCAGGCTAGCAGACAATAGCAATATTTACTCTAAAAGCCATCCACAGCGGAGTGTTTAAATCAATGTTATCACAAATACATACACCGCCAAATGCACACACACACATATTTGTCTTAAATTATATTACAAAATATAATTAAATATCGAAACTGCAATCACTGCTACGACTCTCCTTTTGCTTCGCGTCCACTGTCACTGTCTCGTTCTTTTTTTGTCTTCGATAGGTTTGGTCATATCATCAGCTGCTCTTCTTCTCGATTTATTGTGTGATCATTGTGGTTGTCTCACTCCTTCTTACAGTATATCAGAACGTCTAGCTTAAGTGCAGCCATCACAGTTTCTAGCCAACGGTACCTCTAAGACTCTGCACTTTGCCTTAGCCTGTCGCAGCAGCAGCAGGTCGTACTTATGATCGACCATTTTAACTTTAAAGCAACAGTTTTTTCAGGCCATTGCAATATTTTTACTTTCTCTCACTCGCACTCATTCACGGCTACTCAGTCAAGCTCGGGCTCGACAACTATCTCTCTATTAAAAAATCTTGTCGCTTATACTGTATATCGAAGCAAGCGTATTTGAAACGAAAAACTATTTTTATCTAGTAGGCATTATGGCCAAAGCATTAGGGGATACCCTAAGCCAAATTTTATTTTGTATTCATTCTGAATTTGGCTTTGCAGCATACAACAACCAAAATTTTTAAGTGAAAAAATGAAAAAGGAAAAAATGTTGTGAGAAAGCAGCAGCATTGTTTGTGAACAGCAACCAAAATTATCTAGTTGAGTGAAAACACAGTTAGAAAATTTTATCGAAAATGCAGTGTAAAAAAATTAAAATTTTTAAAAATAAATTTTGTTAATTGTTTCAAGATCTAAACTCTATTTATTCCTAACGGAACATTCTAGCCTTAAAGGAGATGCAAACATAAAAAATTCTCATACATAGGGGTATGCACCCCTCAGGAAAGCCCCAAAAAAATAACATAGGTAAGTAAACAAAAGCCAAGAGGAAAACTGAACCGAGCCAGGCTAGACTTAAATTCTTCCTTTGAAGGAACAAATGCCCACAGAAAACTAGAAAAATAAATGGAAAATGCTAAAAAGAAAAAGTATTTGATAACTATTTGAATTCCATAACACTTCCTCAAATCCATATAATCATGATTGAAATGAATACGCATCAGTTGCGCAGCTACAGTCCGAAGTCCAAATAACTTTTCCACACGACTTTCGAGAACAAGAAATACCAATTTTGTGTCAAGACAAAGGAATCGTCAGTACACAAAGTAACGGAATATTGGAAACGATGAATCACGGATTAACGATGAAATACACGCACAAATCAATCAAATCACGAAACACCTCTAACCCACCCCAACCCAATCACCAGTCACCATACAAGCCGCACATGTTCCACTATTAATTCGCGTGCCACGTGACGCTGCATGTTTTCTGTTCGTGCGGTTCACGTGCGCACGGCGAATTTGCCATCACTAATCGTTCGTAAAGAGAAGGTAAGCTTTACGTCACGCAGTTGCGGAACAATTCACAGTGAATTCTAACGTTATAATTACAGTTACTCGGCCAATGCGATTTCAAGCTTACGGTACCGCGACCGCATCAACTCTACACTCCCCCTCCCCCTCCATGTTCACTCACACAATGAACACATAACACAACACCACGACCACCATACTTCTATACACACACACACACACACACACACACACACACACACACACACACACACCTACACGCACACGAATGTAGACTTTACCAAGGGTGTACACTGTCGTAGCATACCATAAAATCGTCAAATGATTGTTAAACAAAACAAATGTTCCCGTCCAATAAGAATACCTTAACTCAAACCTCTCTTCGTTTCTTCAAGCAAGCAGGCATAAGCAATTTCGTACATCCCGAGGTCGGCGCGTAGGATTTGCGTACTTGAAAGCGACATTGGCCCATCCGGTTTGCTGCACTTGTCAATCGTTTGAACTATATGCTTAACTTTCAAAATATATATATACAACACGACTTGTATTCAAAGTACGAGAATTGCCTCTTCATTTCCACACTCTGCTGGGTCTGGTGCATGGGATGGGTGTACAATGGGCTGGGTGAGTGCCTAGTGTAATAATTAGTGCAGCTTCAGTCTCCGATGTGTACCGGGATGCGCACACGAGGGTCATTCGAACTAGTGTGTATCGAGAGGGAATAGAATGGTAAAGAATTAGATTTCAGAGGAAGAAAATCGAACGGATATAGGCAGAGAGGGCAGCTAGAGATGGAAGGTGATAGAGATGGGTGGAGATGATCATGGGTGGAGAAATAGCAAACTACAAAGGCACAGGAATCATAGCTAAAGAGGGGAGAGAATGCTATAGAGGGGAGAGCAAAATAGAAGCGAAGATATTCAAATTGTGAAATAAAACTGAAGAGCTAGAGAGATGTCCACAATTGATGGATCGACCCTTGCTAGCGACTTACCCACTTGGACTTGGCATCAGCTCTATTCGGGCATTGGACGTCGGAGCGTAGGCGAGGCATGTGGCAACGAGCCTGGCAATGGGCAGACAATGGGTTAAGTTGACACAGTTTCATATTCATAGATTGCGAGACGGACAGTTGCGGGCAGAGAGAGAGGGAAACAGGAGCGGGACGAGCAAGAGGAAGCGAGTGACATTTATGCTGACACCAAAAATCATCATCATCATCAACAACAACAGCAGAAAAGCAGGCAGCCACGCCCCACTCGCACTACGCCCAACGCCCATCGCCCACTGCTGCTGCTGCTGCTGCTTGGAAACTTGACTCGCAAATATTTGCGAACTAGGCAAACTTGTGGGTCGCAACTGCGCTCGGCTGTGGCGGTGGGGGCGTGGCAGCCGAGAGGTGTCGCCTGCGTTGTGTTTCCGCTCCAGATCATAAACAAAGCGAAAGCGAGTGCCAATACGAGTTATGCACATTTCATGTCTCATGTTCCTAGTCCCATGTTCCATTCCCGCCCGTTCCGCCAGCAACACCTGACACACAGCAGCGGAACACCCGCTGGCATTTGCCATCGCATACTTTTGGGCTCCCCATTTCTGTCTGGTTGTTGTTGTTGCCGTTCCCAATGGCAGCAACAATTAAAAGCAGCTGCCGCAACTTGCTTGGCAGCAGGCTGTGTACGACCAGCAGATGCCCTGTAAGGGCATTAGCCGCAAGGAAAATGCTTTCCAATTGGAATGCAGATGATATCCGACTAGGAAATACCCTCAAAGCCAGCAGAAAACCTAAGTGCAGCTCAAAGATCATACTCTTAAGCGGATTATCTTCAATCTGAATACTCCAGTTGGATTTTTACCGTTTCACAGAAAAGTTTAATATATTCGACCAAGTAATACCCTGTAAGTATCAAGAGATTCACCTGGTGTTCTCATATAATGTTCTAGTTCCAAACCCATTTCACTGAGTGCAGGTACTGGAAACAGAGTGAATTCGACTCTGCAATACCCTGTACTTTGCTATTTAAGCTATATACACTCGGAATAGCAATATGCTCGATTTCTAATTAGCGTAAAATCCCAAAAATATCTTCATTCCGAAAATATGGTAGACTCGACTAGACAATACCCTGTAAGCAGCGAAAAACCTCATGGGACTTGCATGATATACTCTAAAAATCAATGCCTGCTCGACTAGGCAATACCCTGTAATCAATTTGTCTGCCTAAGACATTTTATTATTTTCCAATGGGAACGCTCAGTGCCAATTGGAATTCTAATATGCTCCATGCCATTGTTCTAACAGGGTATTTAGCAATTGGCCAGCGGCTGAATTTTGACAACTAATTGAAATGCCCCAGTTTTGCATACTAAAAAACAAATATGTTAAAGTGCAGAGAGAGAGGGAGAGGGAGAGAGAGAGAGAGAGAGAGAGAGAGAGAGAGAGAGAGAGAGAGAGAGAGAGAGAGAGAGAGATGATGCATTTAATATGTGACCTGCAACATTTTTTGGACACAATTCTCATCAGTTTTACCTTAGCTTTCGCCTGCTAAAAAAGTTGCTCGGAAAAGCAATTTGTTTTAGTTGTCCACAAATTGGATTTTCATATTTTTCATAGAGCTTCAAGCAAATGTTTCATTTGATTCGACAATGAAATTATTAGATACAAATGCAATAGCCGAGAATGTTGCTTACGCTTATTCACATGCGTAGAGGGTGTTCCAGTCAACTAATCACATATCATTTTTACAGGGTATTTAATTTCACTTAGTCTTCGACACCCATGCTGACTATTAAGTCTACTCTATTTACAGGGTATGTCAATTCAATCATGTTGAAATTAAATCATAAGTGCATATACCTTTGTGGGAACTTTTCAATTTTCTAGGGTATACTTATGTACGTCTAGCGAATACTCAAGATGCGTGATATATTTACAGGGTATCTCTTATTTAATCACAATCCCACGATCATATGCTTAGTACTTCATATGTCAGTCAGAGGTCTTCCGCTTTACAGGGTATAACCAAATACATACACTTGAAGTCAACTCCAGATGCATACACAATTTACAGGGTATTTCATATGCAGTCCTACCTTAAGCCCAGCCAATGTTACCTTAGCCAACCAGAGTTTACAGGGTATGCGACTCGACTGCAGGTCACAGCTAGGCCAAAGGGGGCGGCGGCAGGGGCGTGACAGCTAAGGAAATTCCAAATATCCAAATATCCAAAAGCAAAAGCCAAACACAAATTTTTATTTCAATATCTTGGGAAATTTATAAATAACAACAAAATTCATATGAGAGATGGCTGAGTGTGATGTGATGAGCAGAGTATATATGTGTGTGTGCGTGTGTGTGTGTGCCAACTGTTGAATCTGAGCCAAATGCCGCAGACTTCGACGACAAATTCGACAGTTGCAATTCGTGTGCCGCGGCTCGAACAACGCGAACCCAAAGCCAAAATAAACTTTATTCTCGTTGTTGTTGTTGCTGTTGTTTTTTTGTTAATGTGATAAATGTTGTTGTTGTTTTGTGAATGTGTTTCCTTGATTATTCCAGGCCATTTAAATGGCTGTAATCAAGTGATCACTTGTTAAACACATCGATTAAAAAATCTTTCATGGCATAAAAAAGAAAAACTGTTATCAATTAAAAGCAATTTAAACGTTAATCGCTACTGCCACAGGAAACGGGAAGAACGGGAGCAAGAACAAGCGAAATGCCAGCCAAAAAAAAAGTAAACATAATTGCCAGAGTTTTACAGGGTATACGAGTGGGCTGAGTGGGCTGGGGCGAGTTCGACTCGCAGCATAATTAAAAATTCATTTAAAACTGAATAAATATAGGAATATTACATGTGACTGTGTGTGTGTGTGTGTGAGTGACATGTAAGTGTGTGTGTGTGTAGATACATAAATATACATATGTGTGTGTGCGTGTGTGTAAGCACTTTAATGGCTGCTCCCAACTGAAAAGGCAAACAGAAAAAGCAATCAAAAAATTTGATTCCTTTTCTTTTTTTTTTTTAATTTTTTTATTTTAAATTTCTTTTTTTGTTAGTTTAAAAAATGGTGTTAATAATTCAAATAAATTCTATAAATATTTTTCTCTAATAAATTCAAATCAAAATTTTCTAATGCAAAATTCAAGAAACCGAAAATCGTGCCACACTTTGTGGGATGCCCCCAATTCGCAGTGGGGCGTGGCTGGCAGTGGGGGCTTGGGGTGCGTTCTCTAGCCATCTATCTTTAGAGCGCGCACTGTCTCAGCAGACGCGACCTATAAATAAACGTCAAATACAACCGAAATATGCGTCGCTCGATCGTCTCTGGTTCCTCTAATAAAATCGAAATATTTCTGGGTTGCTCTTCACTCTTCTTCTTGCTTATAGTTTCATATGAATATATCAAAATCATTGCAAAAATAAGCCAATTCTAATGTTATCCGCAACAAGTATCCATCAGAGGACGAAGATCAAGAAAACAAGTTTGAAATGACTGAAGAAACTAATAATTAATGATAATGATAATGATAATGAATGATGATAATGAGTGATGATGAGTGATGATAATGATAATGAATGATAATGAATGATAATGAGTGATGATAATGAGTGATGATGCTCACCGCGTGCTGCTCCTGCTCCTGCTCCTGCGTGCTGCTCCTGCGTGCTGCTCCTGCTCCTGCGTGCTGCTCCTGCTCCTGCCTCCTGCTCCTGCGTGCTGCTCCTGCGTGCTGCTCCTGCTCCTGCTCCTGCCTCCTCCTCCTGCGTGCTGCTCCTGCTCCTGCTCCTGCCTCCTCCTCCTGCGTGCTGCTGCTCCTGCGTGCTGCTCCTGCTCCTGCGTGCTGCTCCTGCTCCTGCGTGCTGCTCCTGCGTGCTGCTCCTGCTCCTGCTCCTGCCTCCTCCTCCTGCGTGCTGCTGCTGCTCCTGCGTGATGATAATGATAATGAGTGATGATAATGATAATGAGTGATGATAATGAGTGATGATAATGATAATGACACAGAATAATAACAATGATAATGAGTGATACATTATGAATGATGACAATGATAATGAATGATAATAAATGAGTTATGTTAATAATAATGATAATGAATGAAAGTGAATGATGGATACTGAATGATGCTAATGAAAATGTGAATAAATATTGATAATAATGAGGATAAAGAATGATGAATGATGAGGATGACAGCTGATAATCATAATAATAATGACAGAGAATGATCAGAAGAATTAGACTTGGACAAGTGCTGAGCATAGGCTAATTAGAATGACGTAGATAGATACAGATGGAGTGCAAGATGCGCAAGATGATGACATTAAGCTTCCGGGGCTATTAGTCAATTAAGACCGAACTTTCTCAAGCTTACATTAGTCGAGCCATAGATGTGAGCTGGCAACAGAATGCTGGTGCAGCAGCTGGCAACATCTGGTGCAGAGACCGTTGTAACGTTGTTGTGCACCTGTTGAGGTGCGCGCACTCCCATCGTTTGAGGCATTTAACGTTGAGTGTCTTTTAATTGCCAGCTGTTGACAGGCAGAGGAAGCGACATAGCTATACTCAGCACCCGCTTCGCCTCTTCGCCTGTCCGTCTCTCCGCCGACCTCTGTCTGTCGAGATTCAAGCATCGGGCCGTGTGATTAATGAGCCATGGACTCGGAATATGCCAGAGCAATTAGAATACAATTAGCAGCGCCACTAATGAGCAGACATTTCCCCTCCACTTTCGTTCTTTTTGCAGACGAGGCGCCAGCAGAGGCAACAGCAGGCGGGCGCTAAGGAGCAGCTGAAGGAGTCGGCGCCAGCTTATCGAGTGGAGCACTCGGAGCTCTACGGGCGCTATTTGGTGGCCAATCGTACGCTGGCTGCTGGCGAGCAGCTCATCCGAGAGCAGCCGCTGGCAATCGGGCCATGCGTTAGCTGCGAACCCGTCTGCCTGGGCTGCTACCAGCCGGTCCAATTGGGGCCGGAGCAATGCCGTTGCCAGGGCTGCGGCTGGCCACTGTGCGACGCCAACTGTCGAGGACTCGGCCAGGGCAATGGACACAGTCGCGAGGAATGCGAACTCTATGGCCAGCAGCGCGCGCAGGCAGCTGACCTGCTCAAGCTGAACGCCTCACCCGACGCGGTGCGCGATCTCTACGAACTGGTCCTGATCGTGCGCATTTTGCTGATGCGAAAACACCAACCGGAGCAATACGCCAAGATACGGCTGATGGAATCGCACACAGAGCTAAGGCGCGAGAATCTCACGCTCTGGCAGCACTACGAGAAGAAGGTTGTGAGACGACTGCTCGACGATTGGCAGCTGACCGGCGAGCTGGGCGAGCTGGAGCCAGCGGAGCTGCACGAGATCTGTGGCATTTTGGATGTGAACTGCTTTGAGATTGGGCAACGAGGGGGCAAGGCGCGTACGCTATATCCGAGCGCCTTTCTGCTCGCGCACGACTGTCGACCTAACACATCGCACACGGACGATCCTCAGAACTATTCGATTATCTTGCGGACGTCTCGATCGGTGCGCGAGCAGGAGACGCTGACGCTCAGTTATGCGTATACGCTGCAGGGCACCTTGAAGCGTCGCACCTTCATACAGGGAGGCAAGCTGTTCTGGTGCCAGTGCCAGCGCTGTGCCGATCCCCGTGAGCTGGGCAGCGACTGCAGCGACCTCGTCTGCAAAATCTGTCGAACAGGCAACATTCGAGCCACAGAGCCGCTCAAGCAGGACGCTGACTGGGCGTAAGTAAGGATCAACTCCATCTGATTGCCCTTCCTCTAAAGCTTCGCTCTCTTCCCACTTCAGCTGCGATCACTGTGCCCATCGCATCGACTCGGTTCAGCTGGAGCGTCTCTTAGACAGCATCAACGATGATCTCGAGTCCATCGATGTCCACGACATTCCCGCCTTGGAGAACTTTCTCATACGGTGAGTCCCTCGATCCCCTTCGCCCAGCGAAGCCCATCCAATAATATTCATGGCTCTTCAACTTCTAACTTCTTTGAGTATTTCTCAGCATTCTTCAATATTAACTTTAACAGCAATTTCAGCAGCTTCGTTAACTTATCTAAAAATCAATGACAACTCACACACTGCAGACATTTGCCGGCGGCTACTTCCCTCGACTCTCATCAGCCTAATACAACTTCTAATATCTTACAGACTTTCTGCTTGAGAGACTTTCGGCTGTTGTCAATCATGTAGACCATTGATGCCTGCTTAGTTCAAAGGGATTGAATACCTTGTCAATCAGTCAGTCAGAGCTTTAGAATCAGTCAAGCAATCACAAAGTCCACCTGAGGCAGAACAAAGTTGATCAATCAGTCTCTTAAATCGTCAATCACTGATACAAGATCAGTAAGTCGGTCGTCAATCATTCGGTCAATCACTGATACGAAATTAATAAGTCAGTCAATCAGTAAATCGATTTGTCAATCGATCAGTCGATCAATCAATCAATCACATACAAGATCAGTAAGTCGGTCAATCAGTCAACTAAGTCGTCAATCATTCAGTCAATCACTGATACGAAATTAATAAGTCAGTTAATCAGTTAATCGATCGATCGATCAATCAATCAATCACTGATACAAGATCAGTAAGTCGGTCAATCAGTCAATCAATCAATCAATGTTATTACAAGATCAGTAAGTCGGTCAGTCAGTGATATAAGACAAAACAAAGTTGATCAATCAGTTATTTAAAACGTCAATCAATTAGTCAATCACTGATTTAAGGCAAACCCAATTTGATCCATCAGTCAAACCGTTAGTCAATCATTCAGTCAGTCAATGGGACAAGTTCAATCAGTCAATTTATAACTGATCCAAGTAAATCAGTGTATATAGAGTACCCTGTGTCATAGACAACTCATGACTGACCATGATTGATCACTGAGTCCACAAGAGCTGGAAGAAGGAAAGTATTGCAAACAGCTTGTTTTATGATACATGGAAGACGTATGAGTTATAAGAAACCTTCTGCTTTGTGATTGAAGGGAAGTTTTTCTCTCTCTCTTTCTCCCTTTCTCTCTCTCACTCGGATCGTTTAATAAAGATTCTTACTAACTACATATACTTGCGCTAGTCCGCCTCACGGTTTGTATCAGCAGCATTTGGGTCAAGGACGACTCTGCTTTTGATTGATTGATTGAAACGATTCGATTGTCCTATTTGTAGATATCGCGAAGTGCTGCGCCCCAATCATTATCTCTTGCTGTCCGCCAAGTACTCGCTGTGCCAGATCTACGGCCGCATCGAGGGCTACCTGCTGCCACAGCTGTCTCCGCAGGACATTGAGCGCAAGGAGCGCTATTGCCGTGACTTCCTGGCTGTCATCGATATACTCGAACCGGGTCTAACCCGACTGCGTGGTGAGTATGCTGAAGGACCCAAGACTCCAAGGATCTATCTATAATAAAATGCTCTTCGACTCCTGCAGGTCTCATCATGTACGAGCTGCATGCCCCGATCATGGTGCTCGCTCAGCTGGGCATGCAGAGCGGTCAAATGTCTCGCCAGGAGTTTCAGCGGCGCATCAAGGAGGTGGTGCGGCTGCTTAAAGAGAGCGCACACATCCTGCAGCTGGAACCGCCCGGTTCCAGCGAGCACGAAATGGGCCTAGCCGCAGCTGATGCGCTAGCCAAAATCAATGGACAACTGTAGATCAGAAGAGCAATCACGACTCTCAGTTGAAGAAGCCTAATGGAATTTTGTGGACTGCAAAGCTGGGCACAGCTAAAGCTGGCATACATCATGAAACCGAAAGGATTATACAAGGACTATACGTATATATAAATAATAATATTGTTAGAATCGAACAAAGTTTTGAAAAGACTTAAAATTATATAAGATTTGGTCGTATTTCAATTTAAAGACTGTTCCTAATGGATACTTTATATCTTATGGCAAGATCTAGATATCTGCCGATGGGCACACTCTATATAGTGGATCTAGTAAGACGGTCTGATTCGCTGTTGGCCTGTAAAGTTCAGTCTAAGTCACTCACTCTCTACTCCTGCGCTTTCGTGGACTTGTAATACGCGTATACCTCCATAACAATCTCTGAGAAAAACTTCAGCGGCGGGTAACAATTTTTAATTAGCCAACATTTTGCTTGGAGACTCGTTCCATTATCTCCATCAAATCGAAATGGCGAAACTGTAATCTCGTCTGTCGTCTTTTGTTTTTCTTTTTTTCTCCTTGCTCCTTGCTTTGCCTTTGTATTCGCTTCGCAACAAAATTTTGTAAGAGTGACCGACTAGACGCTACCTTACGAAATATCGTAACTCGAGTACTTTAAGAACTAGATATACAAAACATTGTATGGAGCTGTTCACAGCTTATAAGCAGCTGCATACCCAATTTAATGGATTTGATACTTGTAGATCTCGAGTTAGGCTGAGGTAACTCAGTTGAAAAAGAAGATAGCTAAAAAAAGATTTATCTGAATGATTTACATAATTAACGAGAAGTTATATATTCAATTTCGTATCTTCAACTCTTATACTTCCCGAGTTATGCCGAAGGGGCCACCTCTAAAAGGTATCTATTCTATAAAAGTACAGTTTCAAATTCAAATATAATTTACTCGCAGCCACAAACTGAATTGGACCTGTAGCTCTTATAGCTCTCGAGCTCTGCTTGAGAAGGCAAGTGCGAATCGATATTTATCGGTTTCATTAGAAAATTAGCATCGATTGAGCTTCATCTCCAGTCCGTCACATACACACCCTTAGTATCAGCATACTCCTTTCGTGCAGCTGCGATGAGCGCTCTGCAAAAGTTTGAGTTCAACTCGGTTCAATTCAGGGTTCAGCTGGGCGAATCTTTCGGAGTTAAACTAATTGCGGAAACTCTGAGCGACAACAGCGCAGCGGAAGTGGACGCAGCTGCCACGCCCCCACTCCCCGCAGCTCGGCCATTTGTGCTTCGCATTTTTGCATTGATAGCTGACAGCAAGTTGAATGCTTATCGCAGTGTTAATTAATGCGTAGTTTTGCCACGTTGATATGGCAACGCCCAGCAGCCCAGCAGCCCAGCTCTGGCAACGCTATGAACAGCAGTTGATTAAACGATTGTCCAGCAGCTGTCAGTAAGCTTTCACAACTTTCATGAACTCTGACGTTTTCAAATATTCCATTTAAGATATTAAATTTTACCTCTGCCTCCGCCCTTACCTTTGACCTTACCTCGTGCAATGTAACTTTGCAAGTAAAATCCAATCAAATCATATAGTACTCCAATCAGAGTCAGTTACAACTATACCTATCAATTCCAATTGGACAATTCACATATAGTAGGGCAACATTCCAATTAGATAACCTCAGCATGA